CACATCGCCCTGCTTCACTCGCTTTCCCCCACATCGCCCTACTTCACTCGCTTTCCCCCACATCGCCCTGCTTCACTCGCTTTCCCCCACATCGCCCTGCTTCACTCGCTTTCCCCCACATCGCCCTTCTTCACTCGCTTTCCCCCACATCGCCCTGCTTCACTCGCTTTCCCCCACCTTCGAGGCTGAGCGTGCTCGCAGCGGCAAGTGGCGGTAGGTGCTCAGCTTTTCTGAGAACGGAGAGTCAGAAGCGGCCTGTAGCAGGGATCAGCTGAAGGCCTCAGTGAAAATGAAGGCCTCACTTAGTATGTTTTCGTACAGCTCGGTGGCTCTTTGATGCGTCATTGTCACTGGTTTTGCTGGATGATTTAGGCCTATCGGTTCTTTGGCTGAAAGTGACAGTTTGACGGCCGGCAAACTGTGTCAAAGTTTTACCAAGAACGTTCTGGCCTTTTGTGTGTGCCTCGTGGTTTATAGAACATAAGAACATAAGAAATTTACAAACGAGAGGGGGCCATTCGGCCCATCAAGCTCGTTTGGGGGAAAGTAACTATCTGAACACTGTATTCTCTCTTACAGCGTATCAGTGCTGATCTTCAACACCACAGCCCACTGCTTCATTCTGGTCAAGCAGTTCCGCCCAGGTGCGTCCTCCCGTCTAGTCCAGACAATATGCCAATAAGAGTTCAGGGTGGACCAAACTAAAAACCAGAAACCAAGTTATAAGAACAAGGCTGGCAATCTAAGCACGATTAAAACAGAATTTGCTTTGATCCATGGCATATTTTACATGTACAGAGCAATCAAGAAAAAAGATCAGGCCTTGTTTATAAGCTTTAGATCAGGTCGAAGTCAGATCGAAGGTGTGATGAAATCAGAAATCAATCCCCAAGCTAAATCAGTGTTTGCACAAAAAATCTGAACATAAATCCTTAAGTCAAGTTCAATCAAGAGTCAGAACATCCAGGATGAACGTTATTTTAGTTTTGCCATTTTAGTGAGATGCCATTGCTGCGAGGGACTTCTTAGGCACATTTCTCTTTATATTAAAGTTATATTAAACATTATAATGCCTAATTTGCCTGAAGGGAAACATGCTTAAACTAGAATATTCTATGAAGCAAAAATGTATCTATTGGGTGCTTTCTGGAACAGATATTTCGTCTTGTGCGTGACTCTGTTTAGCCCTGGGCATCCCCCGGTAAGACGTGCATGTGTCGTAGAGTGATGGGTGTTGGGAGGAAATGTTCACCCTCCCAGACTCTCCCCTGCCCCCCCCCCCCAAGTGCAGAGTCATTAATCATCAGTTTAAGTCTCTTTTTAGGCACTAGATCACCCCTGGACCATGAACTGCCTTCATTACCCCCCGCCCCACCCTCAACTCTGGGGGCGCTAGTGGTGCTTCCTGCACTACTCTCTGTTGTCTACTCCGCCCCCCCCCCTTTTTTTTTTTTTTTTTTTTTTTTTTTTTTTTTTTTTTATATAAAAGCCTTAAGAGACTGTTAGTTCCTGCCCCTGACTTGGTAATCTCACCGTTGACTTGGTTGGCCACCCTGCCTACTCGTTGGCCTTGACTTACGGTGGACCATCGCAGATTTTTCCCCACCGTCAGAAAAGGAAGGTTTTTCTCACAAACTGTTAGCACCCACAGGAATGCATGTTCACACAGTCAGAACTCCTGTTTCCCGTATAATCCGCTGGTCCACAATCCTACACCATACAGAAACTTGGAAAGCATGCAGCATCGATAGTGGAAAGTTTTGGAACGGACGGCTTCTTCTCGAGCCGTTGGCCTCCACTTCAGGGTTTTTTTTCTGCTGCGTTTTCCTCGCCATCATGGTGTGTGGAGAGAAGAGCATTGTGCCGGCAGGCTCCACCTGGGCCGCTCCACCGCCACTCATAATGGAAGGAAGCCCAGGTGCTGGAAGGGATTGTTCCAGTGAGCGGACAGGGAAAATGGCTGCTTTTGTGCAGAGACCCCACACTTCCTCAGGGCTCCTTAGTGCTTCTTGGCCTGATCTTCCACTTGCAGCCGGGGCAGCCTGGTGTCATGGCCTTGACCACCAGACCAAGAGGTTGGGTGGGGTTAGGGATGGAGCTAAAGTGTCAAGAAAGGACACTAATGAGAGAAACCTCACGCCATGGCTGTGACGACAACATTTGCTTAAACCATTTTTCCTGCCCAGAGCAGCTTGTGCAGTTCACAGTTTAGAATCTGTACACATTTTTTACTGTGGCACAATAGTAGTTAAGGAATTGTAACTTACTCAAGGCTATAACAGTTCTCCTTCCTGGAATCTGATCCAGCAGCCTTCTAGTCACGAACAAAACACAGAACCTTCTAAAGCTTCTAAGAGAATAAAGTCTACAGTCCATTTACAGCAGTGACTCGGGGGTCCGGGTGGGCTTATGCCTGGTAACTTTAAGCCTCTCCTGATAGCTTTCAAGCTCGTTAACAGTCAAGCTCCAGTGGTTCTGACAACCAGCCTCTCATTCCAGTTATCCTGTCTGTCCTAGTGCCAATAACCAGTCTGTCCATGTCCTGAGAGCTAATCTCCTCTGATCATCAAAGCCATTGCATCTAGTCCTGATCTCCCGATACCTCCTGCAGCCGTCTACATGTGTGAGTGGGAGAGGAACAAGCGGAAGGAGAAAGGCCCCGAGGAGCCGGCGGATGTCCATGCGGACCCCCCTCCTGCATCAGCAGGGGTTACGTACGAGTTGTGTGCGGGGCTGGTGGACAAGCCCCACCTTTCCCTGGAGGAGATTGCCCGGCAGGAGGTCCTGGAGGAGTGCGGCTATGACGTGCCAGCAGATAAGCTGCGGAGGATCACCTCGTACAGGTGCTGGTTCATCAGAAATATCATTCTTTCTCTCACAGGCACATGTATCAGTTTAGACGTTGGTCTGTTTCCTTTTGTTCCCCTATTCCATGCTGGTATGACAGGCTAGTTAACAGGTGCTTTCACACCGAAGCTCAGAAACTTTTGTAGCTCCTGGGCACTTTTGTGTGTCACTTTCACACTGCAGAATAGGAACTGTGACCTTCATCCTAAATAAGCATGTGAGACGCAGAAAGGTTGTAGGTTAAACTTTGTACATAATTTCATTCAAAATTGCACTGCCACCCAAAAACAATGGAGGGATGAACAAGTCGTTTTGTTAGATATTGGGGGGAAGTTCCTGCGATGTGAATATGACAGAAGTTCCTGGTTCCTGAAAAAGGTTCTGGTTCATGACAAAGATTCCTGCAGGTGCAAACCGCCTCAAGGGAAAAAACACACACACTATCATCAAAGACTTTGCAGGATGATGGGAATTTTGCACTAATGTAAACCAAGTGATCGGATGAGTCATGCAGCCGGCCAAAGAAGGCCCTTCTGAAGGCCTCTGTCTTAGTTTGACACTGATAAACAAGTGGGGAGGGCAATGCATTCTGTGTAATTTTCTGCTTGGCCATTCATACATTGGTCTAAAGTAGCTGTTTGCTGTTTGCTTATGGCAGTAAAATTTATCTATTTCATGTCTAGTGTGTTTATTTTAAAAATGTCTGATGGAGAGAATTCAGCCAGGAATGAAACTCTATTTGCTGCATCTTCTAACCACAATAATTCTGAAAATAATTAACATGTTCAAGTAAAAGAAAAGGCCTTTTGTTCTGGTGACGCCTCTGCTCATTTCCTTGTTCAGTGTGCAAATAGACATTCCCTAGATAGAGAGGACATCATCTGGTACATAACCACATGGACTTCCCTTAGCGTTTCAGCATGCCCAAATTCGGGAGGGGGCGGGGCCTGGGGTAGGATGTGGTATGAAGATGGACCTGTCCCTGTCCTCCACTAACATGAGATGGATAGAAACCAAGGCACAGCTGGGCTTTCTTTGGGAGCTGTGCTTGTCTGGGCATGAGACCAAGGCCATTCTTACAGACTTGGTAGAATTTCATGTTGATTTAGCATGTAAGTCATGTAGATGAGGAATGCTTAGTGGTTGATTATTGTGTGGAAATAACTGACCCGCTCCTTTATTCTGAAGATCCAGGTTTCCTGTTGTTTTTGCCTCTTAGCCGCATGATAATCTGTCTGAAGAACCATGCAGCCATGGACCTGCGGGTCTGAAAAGCAAACATCTGACAGTTTATTTTGGCAGACATAAGGTGGGATTCTCCCATTTCAATCATGGAGATTAAGCCCATATATGGTAACTAAAGCGGGTATTAAAGACGTATTTGGTAAACTACAGCTTCCCTGTGCCCACCTAAGTGTTGCTGAACCTTTTGGGACCTCTTCTAGACCGTATCCCCATGGCTCTGACATGGATGGCGTTCATGGTAGGCCCTGCACTCAGGAGGCTGCGTTTACATCCCACTCTACCCCATGTGTCTCTCGCTGTCATAGGGCCGTACAGACCTGCGTGCGTCACTCGTCTGTGTCCCCTGGCAGGTCGGGCGTGGGCGTCACCGGTGCCAAGCAGACCCTTTTCTACGTGGAAGTGTCGGACGAGGACTGCGTGGGCGACGGCGGGGGCCAGCCCCAGGAGGGGGAGCTCATCGAGGTGGTGAAGGTGCCCCAGCACCAGGCCCTGAACTTTGCATATGATGAGAGCATCCCCAAGAGCATGGGGGTCATCTTCTCCTTCATGTGGTTCCACAACAACATGTCGCCCAAGTTTAAGATCTCCACCAGCGTGTAGCCACCTGCTCCATCTTCTCCATAGTCTTCATATGTGACTATTGATTTTAATTTATTTTATCTTCTGATTACTTATGTTTCCTATTTACACACTGAAAGCTGATATTATGCACTGATTAATTTTTGCAAGACCTGGGTGCTGTTTCATGCTGGTATGTTAAAAAGGTCAGGTTTTGCTTACACTAACTGGTTGTAATTAAGGGTTTTATGTCATTGGTCCAAACCCGGTTGTCTGTGTCGCAAAGCTGTATCCTCCCTCTGTAGCCACTGGCAAGGTATGGACTTCCTTACCTACAGGAGAAGCTCGAATGCCCCAAGAGAGGGAGCGTCGCTTGCAGGAGGAAGTCTGTGCTCAGGACTGAGGGGCTGACACTCTGGCTGCTCAGCAGACTCCTTTTCATCCTCTGAAATGTCCGTGCTGCAGTTGCAGTGACCAGGAAAGTTCTGATTCTGAAGCTGACAGCTGCCCAGGGAATTAAAATGCACAGGGACAGTCAACCTTAAAATCTCCTGCTGAAATCTCAGGTCCAAAACAATGCTTTTGTGAAATGGTGCGTCTTTCAGGGACTTGTGAAACACCAGGTTTCTACTCTTTATAATGAAGCTTTACGGCAATCAGTGGACACCTCTGAGAGCGGTTACAGTAGGGGATGCCCCACACGAAGGATAAGGGTCTCAACGCCACATGCGGTGTGACCCCGGTGACCATGTGACACCATTGATTATGTGACAGGGCTGTTTTCCTCACATATCTGTGCCAATTGTCTGTGTTTAGTTTGAGACCAATGGACTCAGAGGCTTAAACATGAGTATCTATCTGATCCTCCAGAACCAGAGTCCAGGGTGTTTTAAAGGACACATTTCAATTAGCACCTGCTTTGTGCCTGAAATATCAGGTGAGGCAAATAACTGCCTAATTCATGGCTTCAATAAAGCAGTCCAGGGCTGGATGTGTACCTCCGCTGGAGGCCAGGGCTGGATGTGCACCTCCGCTCGAGGCCAGGGCTGGATGTGCAGCTCCGCTCGAGGCCAGGGCTGGATGTGCAGCTCCGCTCGAGGCCAGGGCTGGATGTGGGTTTCCCTCATTTACATTAATGATCACACTGCTAACACTTTGGATTTGACAGCACATCTGTAGGACATGAACAATGACATTCTCTGTTTTCCTAACAACTTTACACTTACTATCTTACCTTGTGGCCTGATATCACACATTTAATTTTTTCCGGAAAGTACTTATTTCAGCACACGCCCAAAAATATACATTTTTACATGTGACCTTCTCCTTTTTTGTTGCTTGTATTTTGTCATCAATGCTGCTTTTAATTTTAACCATGGCAAGAACTTCCTGATTGCAGAATTATTCACTAGTTTTAGCTGTCCCATGGTGAGGTGAAATGCTTCCACTTTTTTGAGTTTTGAGGAAAAGCTGCTTTCTAAAAATGGCCGTTCTCCCAGGGAGAAGAAAAACCTGAGTGAACAGAAAACCATCTTAAAGGTGTTGGTGATGGTGGACCGTCCATCCAGAAATCACAATGATCTGCCACATGAGACACTTCTGATGTCAATGCAAAGCTGCTGTTTTTTCAGTAAACCATAGAGAAGTGGTCTCCCCACACCCCTTTGTGTTTCCATATGGAGCTTTGAATGTGCTATTCTAAACGATGTCGTGCGGTACTTTTCATTTTTAAAATACAAACCTAATTTTGTATGCAGTTATTTTTATTTTTTAAACATCACTTTTTCCCATCAGATGGCACTTTGCGCACATAGTAAAGACGAATAAATGTATGTGTTCAGTGCTGTGGTCAGTGTGTTTCACTGCTTAACGCAATGGGTTAATCAGCATGATTCCCCAGCTCCTACAGAAGGTAAGGAGAAGATTGCTACATTCCACAGCTGTCTTTGGCTCTTCAGAAGAGACAGGTTATGGTTCTCGGAAGACCTTGCCTGGTTAAATAATTTTTTTAATAAGTAATAATCAATAACAGTCCTTAATGTGCAGGTCACCGGTGTCTGATTAACTGACATGATGGACCAGCCCTGGATACCAGAATGGGTTTGTCATGGACGCCCACCTACTAAGGGGCTGGAATGCTTGTCTCCTGAGTCTCGTTCCTGAGGAATCTTGTTAGCTGAGTGCAGTTACCAAGGGGATGTTTGCATTTGTCTCGTCAACCTGTGCCTGTGTGTCAATCATTAGACAGAAATGCGGACGTGAGGCTCAAACGGCAAAGTGTGAAAGCGGAACCAACCTCCAGGTGAAAACATTAAGTAACCAAACACCGTAAACTCAGCGTTCTCCATAGCAACAGCACTTACACAAGCCGTATGACAACAAAGGCATTGAGTGGTGGACAGGAACTATGTGTGTGTGTGTGTCTTTGACATTGTAAACTGTCAGTTCTGTTGATATTAAAGATGGATGCCTGTACAGCGATAACCACACCTGACAAATGATACAACGTCATACATCTAAAAGTACCAGGATGGGTCCTGGTGATCCCAAAGGGACAGACATTCTGTCTTCTGTTCCCTCGGTCACCATTCCTGCTAGCTTGTATTTATGCATCACTGTCAGCCTCTGTTATTGTGGATCATTTAGAGATATGGGGGGGAGAGAAAACTGGGTGAAGGGGAATTTCCTGGCCAAACCTGACACACAATACTGCCAGCTACCATTTCCCGTCAAAGGAGAGTAGGGAAGCTGGCTATGCCTGCAAACATGAAAGGGATCCGCTTCATCGGCCTACAGGCAGGTAATGTCAGTCCTCTGCGATAATGCCTGTTAAGGCTACATTGCATGTTCTGTAACATGAGGAGTTGGTGTGGAATGGGCACCTAGATGGCAAGAAGCAATGAAATAGGTGGCGTTTTTAGCCTCTTTGTCCTCCATCTGTGTATTTGCTGTCTGCTCAAGCACTTCCAGGTGTCAGCTTCCTGTGCCAGTGAAGACACAGGGCTCCAGCCAGGGGCCCAAAACGGCAGTGCCACCACTTCCCGTCTGCCCAAGCACTTCCAGGTGTCAGCTTCCTGTGCCAGTGAAGACACAGGGCTCCAGCTAGGGGCCCAAAATGGCAGTGCCACCACTTCCTGTCTGCCCAAGCACTTCCAGGTGTCAGCTTCCTGTGCCAGTGAAGACACAGGGCTACAGCCAGGGGCCCAAAACGGCAGTGCCACCACTTCCCGCTGGTCTGACCATGAGCTGGGTGTGGCAGCTCGACTCCTTCTGCCACTTCTCCATGGGGGGGCCTTCCCAGCGAGCCTTGCTGCGTGAGTCTCAGAAAAATACCTAGGCGGGAGAGCAGGCCACCGCGCTGAGGATGCTTTTTCACTCCTTAGGCCTTCTGTTCTCTACGATGATGCCAGAAAAATAATTGCAAATATGAGTTTGTGTTACTATTCTGATATTTTGGGATTGGTTGTTGCATGGGTGGAATACAAAAACATTACAAGCAGACTTTGATTTGGCACGGCACAAGGAGCATGAGGCAAATGAGAACGAAATGTAATTCCTGCCGTGACCCAGCCCCTGGCTTCAGAAAAGGACACGCCCTCATTTTTCTGACTGTGGGGCTGTTTGCGATGTGTGAAGCATGCAGTCTTCGTGCCTAATAAGCTGGTCCACGCACTTACAAACCAGGAAAGGGTATAAACCTAAACAACATTAAACCTTAAAGACCCTGAAGTTCCGATGATTTTTATGATCATGTGCTGTAGCAGACCAGGCATATGGTTGCTAGTTACTTGTCAAAAGAGCTTTTCTACAAAATGGTTAACATTACCCACTTGGCTTTGAGTGTTGTTATATAGAGGATGCCTGTCTTGGTTTGCCCACAGAATACTGCTGGCCTTGAAGTGACAGCAGGAAGGTAAATAAAATAAAGCTTGTTGCCTTATTTTATTTCTCCGTCGCCTGAAGGGATCAAGTAAGGTGTTTAATATTTAGTGTGGAGCACTTTGACACCAGTATAAGCTGAGAATGTGGATCCTAGTATTCCCAGTCCTCTGGCTTGTTAAAAATCCCAGTTAGTGATTCCTTACTTGTTATGTTTGAATAGGATGTTTGTGCCTCGTTGGTCTTCGTCTGGCCTCCTGAGGACGCAACCCAGCGGCTCTGCATTTCCTATCCTCAGAAAGTGACCATGGAGGAGACGTGAGCTCTGACAACAGGACTCATCGCACTCTCACTGGTTGCCCATCAAATTCCTCGCCATCACACACAACTCAGAATTAAGGGCCTGTTGCCTAGAAACCAGATGGCAACAGGTCACCAAAGCACCCACCCACACCATTGTTAGGTGATTGAAAGCCTTGTGTTGGAGATTATCACCATAAGCTATTTGGATCCGAACACCGCTGACATGACTGAGTTACCGAGTAACCGACGTGGCAAGCCAACTAGACATGTCTCAGTGAGTTCTGATTGATCTTCATTACTTATATACTTTGTGCAATTGCTTCATGGCTTTGTTCCCTGCATCTTCATCCAAGTCTGAGTCTTTATTTCCTCTAAGTGCCATTAACTGTTTGATATCCTAATTATTCCAAGAATTATTAACTGCATGCTATACAGATATTTATGTGCAGGTGCTTTAAAATCCGTTTGTTATTTAGAGCGTAGAACCAAAATTGCTAATTATAGATGTTTCTTTTGTGACAAATTTGTGTTTGTGCATGAAAATATGGCATAATAGAAGTATAATGATAATAACAGTGATTTTCCCAGCACAACAGTGAAACGTGTGACGGAGACGCGCAGTATTTATCTCTTACTCTTGCTGTGTCAGTTTAGGCCTGACAGACTGACGGGCCGCTCCTGTGATTCACTGTGACAGGCAGCTCCTGGTCAGGCTGCATGTGTGGTGCACTGTGGGCGGACAGCAAAAAGAAAAGAGAAAAGGAGTCAAGAATGGAAAAACGCACCTGGGGCCACATCTGGGGCTACGGTGGGGGCTACGTCGGGGGGCCACGTCAGGGCCTGCTGCTGCACAGGCCAGCTGCTAGTGGGCCCGCATCCCAGCATGCTCAGCTCACTGCTGTGGTCATTACGTAAACGCTGTGAAGCAGTTCGTTATCTTTGCTTTTGGTGCATTGTGGGCTCTGCCGGGGCCCAGGCCGTGTTGGAACAGAGCGTCTCAGCTTCCCGTGGGATGTGTGTCACCTGTTTATTCAGGTAAACCAAAGAACATGTCCGGCGGGGGCTCCTGCCAGGAATCGTCATACAAAAACATTCAAAATAAGTTTTAAAGGAACAATCATACAAGGCCAAATTATTATTCACTACTTTTTTTGCAAGAAAAATGTCAGTATTTCGCTGTTAAATCATACCTTTATCAGAACACAACACGAAGATAATGATAATCCAACTGCTTATCCAGTATAGAAGGGGGGATGATGATGATGATGATGATGATGTTCATGATGATGATAGTGCTGATCATGATGGTGATGATAGTTATGGTGATGGTGGTGATGATGATGATGATAGTGCTGATCGTGATGATGATGATGATAGTTATGATGATAGTGGTGTTCGTGATGATGATAGTTATGGTGATGATGATGATAGTCCTGATCGTGATGATGATGATGATAGTTATGATGATAGTTATGGTGAAGATGATGGCGATGATGATGTTCATGATGATGATAGTTATGGTGAAGATGATGGCGATGATGATGTTCATGATGATGATAGTTATGGCGATGATGATGTTCATGATGATGATAGTTATGATGATAATGATGATGATGATGATGATGATGATGATGATGAGTGGCACGGCAGCTCTCTGGTTAACACTGTTTACTTTACACCATGGTCGGAGGTTCAATCCTACCATCACTCTGCGTGTGATCAATTTGCATATTTTACTTCTGCCATGCGACTATCCTTTATGTACTCTAATCTCCCACAGATCACAGATATGTAGCAGGGCTAATTGGCACTCTGAACTGCATTAAACAATCTAGGCTGAGATCCTGTTAAAGCAGCACCGCAGAGACACAACATAGCAGGCTGGTGCTCAGCATGTGACCCAGAGCAACAAACAGCCCAGAGAGCTCTGCATTAATGAAGTGCTGAAGATCCTCTGCGTTCACTGCCTCACTGCGCTTTTAATTACTGTTCTGCAGAGCCTGAGCAGTCAGCAGCTGAGTCACCGCCTCCTCTCACCATCACAGGATCCGTGTGAATTGTGTGGATGAGCAGCGAATTAAAAAAAAATAATAAAGCGATAGACCTGCTTAGTTATGACCAGCAGTGTGGGCCAGGTGATTTGGTCACATCTCTCTTGTATTGCTGATATTTGCATGTCTGTTCAGGAAAGCAGCTGCTCTAGGCCTCAACGTTCCTTCATGGTTCCTCAGCAAATGTGGGAATTACCCAGAACATCATGCACAGGTGGAGTTCTGCGCTTCCAGACCTGGCTTTGCCTTTCACCAGTTATTTATTAGGTGCTAAATCCCACAGGCTCTGTGACTCTGACCAGGAGAAGTGGTCAGAAGGTGGATGGGCTTATCTCACACGGCAATCGCTCATGCAGCAGACGTATCTTCACCTTGTCTCAGGCCGGTGATCCATCCTGGTCAAGCACTCACCTGGAGCCTGTATGGGAGGCCCCCTTGACCTTATCTGTAGGAGAAATGGCTGGAATGATACAACCCATACAGGCATGTTGTGACAGGCTTCAGATGGAGATTATCTGGGAGCAGCTAGATTGGTCCAAAAATGAGAGGCTCTTCTGGTGGAGCCTTGTTGATGCGTGGAATGGAGAAGGCAGCAGCTCTCAATCAGAT